TAGCATGTGTAAATGAATTCCTATTCAGGTTTTGTTAGCCATTAATTTCATGAAACTGATAATCCATTCCATGTCATCAATCCCATCATGCATTCATTCATGCATTATAAAACATTTTTCATTATACTTCACAACGAACCAACCTAGCCAGCGAATGGAACTATTCGCTTTGAATAAACCGTTAGCGGACTGCTTCGGCTTAACAACTTGTTTTCCGTGTTGGCGTAAATCAAATGCCACTTTGTTGTGCTGCTTATTTCACTTTTGCTGGGGGCAAGTCTATCAAAATATTATTGTATATCGTACAAATGGAAACCGTCGACGAAGCCGTCACTCCTTGCTCTCACGCACACACTTACGCACTGGTGCAGCGAAGAGGATCTCAATGCGTATAACAGCTCACAAAGAAACACCCACCGCTCATTCACATTTACATTCACATTTACATTCTCATTCACACTCGCATTCACCACGACCACCCACCGACGTGCCACTTAAATGAGCTGCAAGTGCCGAGGGTGTGTGTGCCTTGAGCTGATGTTTTTCATGGCTTGTTTACAATTAATTGGGATTGTTATGCCGCCATTCGATTCAATAATTTCTTTGTGCTAGACGGTATTTTTTAACAGCCAGTCATAAATTTGCGGTCTTGTTTTGGTAGCGAGCATTAAATTCCGGAATCCGACTGCATTTATGGCCCCACGTCTGGGCGAACTCTTTGCCTTTGATATTCCATTTGATCTGTTCAGTATATATATAATCCGTAGGATTTAAGGCGGAAATGTATTATTAATAACTTTTATTTAAAATTAAAAAAGGCAATTCCCGCTCAACGACCAAAGGATGTGTATTAAAATTAACCCAAACCATAAATTATTCCCAATTTGCTTGTACATACAAAAAAGGAGAAAGAATATCGCCAAAAAAATCTTAAGAAAAATTTAAATAAAATAACATTTGTTGTATTTATTTATTATACCCGATACTCATAGAGTAAAAGGGTATACTAGATTCGTTGAAAAGTATGTAGCAGGCAGAAGGAAACGTTTCCGACCATATAAAGTATATATATTCTTGATATATTCTTTTTGTCACGCCCACAAACCGCCCAAAACTGTCACGACCACACTTTTAAAAATTTTTTACGTTTCTTTTATTTGATAATTTTTTCCCCAATTTCTACTGATATTTCAGAAAATGTTTAAATTTCTCGTTTGCACTTCCACTAGCTGAGTAACGGGTATCTGATAGTCGTGGAACTCGACTATGGGATTTTATCTTGTTTTCCTATTGTTTCGGGTTACCTGCATTCATTGATTGTTTAATTAGGAATCTGATCAAGAAATGATTTTCATATCAAATACGAATACTATGCAGACCTTAAAAAACTGGTTTTGAGCCAATTCCTTGGGCGTTCCGATTAATATTTTGCAAAACCGCTGATGCTAGACTGAGATAAACCAGAATCGTAAACTTACCATTTGTTATTGGCTCACGATTGGTCATACTATAACCGCCTTTTTTTTTATTTATTTAAAGATTGAACTAAAATTAACCAAATAAGCTATAAAATATGCATTCTCTGACAGTTAGGCCCTAAGCCCCTTCTTTATGCATCATGCATCAAAATTATGGCATCTGTCAGCTATTTATAATTCAGTCAAATAAAACTTTTTTATTTGCCGGCAGGGTCGCACGCTTTCAAAAAAAGTGTGGCATATATTAAAGGCATATAAAAAGTATATGTACGAATAAACGATAGCTTGTCCCACTTGAGGAGCATTTGGTGATTTGTTAAGAATTATTAACTTTACTTCAGAGTTTGCTGTTCAACATCAAAAGCTTTTAAAATGTATTCAACGAATTCCTGATGTTATCAGAAAACTAGTTAATAAATCGAGCTGTATTTAAAGCGGGTATTGTTTTCATTTTGCTGCTCTGATTCGGGACTTAGGGAGTGGTCATCTATTTTAAACGATGCTAGTTTTTACCCAGTGCCTACTCATTATTAAATTGCATTTACTTAATCAAGTATTTACAGACATCGCTCATCCATAACTATTACTTTGTTCTTTGTTTCTTATTACTTTGGTACCCCAAATCAAGCCACCATATAAATTTGTTGGTTTCTCTTTACCGGAAAAAGATGAAGTGATTCAGCAATAAGGCGTCGCCTGGGAAAAGACGAGTCAGCGATTGAATTGCGGTTTAGTTGGTGTTTAGGCAATCCGACTAAATTGAGCTCCTTCCTCCTGTCAGACCCGATCAAATTCGCTTTTATGAGTACACTCCCACGAGGAGTAACTACGTGTGAAATGCTTGAGACAATGCCATATTTATCGTAGCGACAACACCCACAAAGCCAAGAAACCAGATCCGTGGCCAGAGCTATAGAATAAAAGGCATGCGAATAGTCAAACCTGTCACATCGCAGCCATATCTTCAGCACAGTTTCCAAATGGAGGTATCAGTCCGCACGTGCCAAGTGGATCCGCCAGCATAGCCATCTTTTCCATACCAAGAGGGATTGGAGATATTCAGACCTATTCCAGTGCGAAACTCACTGCCCGTATGTTTCCAAACGCATTAGAGTTCCCTTCCCATTTTTTGAAACATACTTTTACCATTTTAAAAACGGCTTAAGGCTGGTTATTTCATTAATATTTAATGGAAATAGAGGATTTACTGTTTTCACCGTTAAATATTTCAGTGCACTCTCTAAATTAAAACATGTGCGCCTCGTTCGGCAGGCTCCTACTTAATAGACTGTTATGCAAAGCTGTCAGCGGGGGTTAAGTGGTGGGTGCTTAACCGATTTTGCAGCTTATAAAGTGCATTTAATTTTTCTAGCGATTTGGAGGGACGCGTAAATCAATAGCCGCGGAAAGTAGGCAACAGTATTTTATGGCCTAATTGCTCTAGCACGCCCACATCATACACAATGTGTGTATATAGGACTATCGATGGTTTAGTGAATCTGGCACATCGTCCATTTGAATTGCTAACATGGCTCATACATATAAATGAAATTGAGAGTTTATTGCACAGGCAGTGGGATCAGCATGGCTTTATTGTGTTGCTGCTACCGCCATCGCCTCTCCACAGAATTGCTTATTTATTTTGTATTTATGCGTTATGACGGTCGCACTGCCTGAGTGCGGCACACAATGCGTATGCGTGATATGAACAAAGGCTCATCGGGGAATTTAAAAAAGGAGAAGAAAAGGCTTTTAGGCCAAACCGTAAATTGAATGCTTCAATTGCTTTCAGTCTACTATCCATCGAGACAAGTGATAGTAAATTTGCACAAAATGAAACCCACTTAAATTTATTGTGTGGCTGGCAACGGAATGGTTATATATGAGTTTTTGTTGCTATTTTCGCCGTGCACATAAAAATGATGAAGTTCATCGAAACTATTTGACAGCCTTTGACTTTTATGTCGCATAAATGATAGTCATTGATGGAAAAGGGTCCCGACCCAGACAAACAGACCCAGAAAGTGGTTTCGGTCGCCGGACATAAAAAAGTAAATCGACTAGGCGTGTGTGACGGATTAGCATCTTGTTTGCGGTATTAAGGAGTTGACAATATTGACTAAATACCAAGAGTAGTTCATAAGCCAAGTTTATCCTTCTACGAATTTAGTATGTAGGAAATCGGTCTGTGTAAACACTATAAAGTTGTATAGTTTTATTTTATCCCCAAACAGCCAATTATTAAGAAACCTTAACTAACCATTTGATGTTGCATAAGCTTTTTGGTCTTCGTAATATTTCACCAAATAAATGTAAACTAAAACCTAACTTGTGCTTACCCAAGTGCAACCAAAAATGAACATTAATTGTGCAACTGTTAGGCAAATTAAGGAAACTTTTTGTGGTTTCATTTACTCATGGCAGCCACATCTTGCCAACATATGCTGCACTTTATGAATTAAAGGCCATTTATATTCGGCTGCACACACGCAGAGCATTTTGTGTTGGCTGACAAATTGCATTTGAAGAAATTAAAACTAAATGCACTGGGACACTGTGTTATGGCATGCTAATTAGTCCCCAACAGCGGTTTTCAGCGTATTTTGGCCAATCGTGAGCATGGCTTTCATCCACTGTCTAGACTTCAGACCAAAAAGCGAATTTGTGCGCCAGATAAACATCTTAATGGCCAGGGATTATGATGCAGTGCCCGCTTTTTACTGACAGTCATTAGCCAGTCGCTCGTTGAACCCTCGTCGTGATAATCCTCTACTTGATCCACACGCTTTCAAAAGAATATATTCATTATATTCTGATCTCTAAGAAAAATGTAATTAATGGATATTGAATTAATGGCATATAGATGATAGCTGCTATGGGTGTGCCAATAACTTGGTTCTAACAAAGTCTGTAAGCTGTTTCAAAAATTAAGATCGCTTTTATATTAAATTGAGTAATAAAACCTTACCTTACCAATAAAAATTAATAATATTTATTAAGAACCATAAAAAGATATATTAGTTTGAACCCTAGAATCAGCAAGGGTGTTATCCTGTAAATGTACTGTTTAATCACGGCAGTCCACATAGTGACGAAAGCGTGAAGGGTGATAATCTGGTGTAGTTGCCTGTAACCTACACTTATGAATTGTATTTTTGCTAAGCTATGTATATTCTTTTTATTTCTTTTTTAAATAATTGAAAGTCTACTCTTTTCTGATTCAACTCCATTTTATAAAAAAACATCGGTAAACTTTTTGAACTGAGTATAGTCTACATAGTTTATTCGATAACTATAATTTAAACTATAGCTTTGGGCTATATTGCAGATATTGGTATGGACAACCATTTAATTGAACCCACTATGGAATATTTGTCTAAATTAAAACACAAACAAGCTGGAGAGGCGCTTGCTGCTCGTATCACAGTTGTGTGTGTGTGTAATGTACGTAGGTGGCACTGGAATGGACTCCTAGTTTGTCGAGTACAGATAGTTGATGTGCTGACCCCCTTGTTACCCCCTTTAAAAGGCGGCCCGCTCTTCATTGTCGTCTCCATTCACCGTCGCTCCCTTTTCGTGCGGTTTGTGGCTGCCTTTGCGTCTGGCACGCCAATTGAATTTGGCCCCGAGACCCTTGAACGCGCTTGAGCTCTTGAGCACTTTCACTTTCGCCTTGCGCACTTTGCCACTCGACTCGTCACCGCTCACGCCCCCTGGCCTCGAGCCCCCAGTTGTGGCGCCTCCTGGCACGCCTCCCGCCCCAGCGCCCAGTGGGCGGGTGATGCGCGTAAGTTTGAGGCGTGACCGCGAGATGGCCAAGTCATCTGTGAGCTCGTCAATGGAGCACATCGTGGGCTGGCGCTGCAGCGGCTCCCCGGGAAACTGCAAATCCTCCTCCAAGAGGGAATGGGCATCGCCCACCGATGACAGCTGCGATATCTGCGTCTGGAGCATTCGACGCGGATTATCGGAGAGGTCTTGCCGGGTGCGATTCTGACCCTGCATCTGGACGCTGTCCAAGGACATGCGGTTCAGGCGCACCGACTGACCTGTAGTCGTTCCATTGCCACTGCCATTGGCAGAACCGTTTAGCCCTGTGGTGGTCGTCGCCATGGAAGTCATTGTAGTGCGAACGCTGTCCTGCGGGAATATCAAGGGATAATCAGGAAGAGAAAGTTCAGTCGCCAGACATGAAACTGACTGGCGAAATAAAACGGCTTAAAGTGGATTTAAAAAATCGTTTTAAAAAGTCAGGCGATAAATTAATCATCATGCGTTAAATAAAATGTAAATATTGTTAAATTTTCCATCACATATTTAAAATAATTTATTATGATTATTACAATTACAGTTGAAGTGCATATACCAAATATAAATTTGTAATTTTTCTCAGTGTACTTACCGTCGTGTGCAGCCGCAATGAGCCAGTCTGATTGCGCCGAAGAGCGCTGTAGGTATGAGGAAGCCCCCTTCCCTGATTTTTGCCACCCAGTCCAAAGTGTCTGGCCAAAGTTACCTTAAATGGGATTAAGGTTACTTTGCTAAGAAAAGTCGCGACCATTAAAGTATCTATTAATAAGCTTGTAAGCTTAAGCATGTTTGCAATTTCCTAACGCAAACAATAAAAATAAATAACCAGCAGAGAAACTCACCTTGAAAGCCTCACGAAACTTGTGGCTCATGATGTTGTAGAGCAGCGGGTTAATACAAGTTGAGAGGAAGTAGAGAACACCGGACGTATAGTCGAGGATGCTGAACACGTCGTTGAACCACTGGGACTCGATGCCCGAGGTGGATCCATAGACCGCCATCAGCCGCTGGGCGTGAAAGGGGGCCCAGCAGATGAAGAAGGCCACGGCCACCGCCACTGGAAAAGTCGGATAAGGGCATTTGTTGCAACCATGAGTTATTTCGGATATTTCACATCTTGCTTACCCAGCATCCGGATGACTCGCGTTTGGGCGCTTATCCCCCGGTTCACATCGTAACATCGCCTGGGAAGCGCCTGCAGCAGTCGACTCCGCTTCAACTTCACCCCGATGAGGACATAGAGCACGCAGATGGCCGTCATGGGTCCGCCGAAGAACAGGAAGCCCGACACAGCAAACACATGGGCGAAAAAGTCGTTTTTCATCTGCAGCAGGCATTTCGCAAAAATATATATATGTATTCGCAAGCGATATGATATGGTTTTGGCTTACAGCCACAGCCGGAAGGCAACGGCTGTAAATTTGATTGCCTGAAATGAGTCGTTCCTCGTAAAGGATTGTCGCTGTTTGATCTTAAGGTGCTCTTAAATTTATAAAAGTCAAGTTGGCTATGTTAGGAAAGTTTTGGGAGGAATTTTAGATGCGTAACTTTTTAAATGAGCTCTTTTTCATTGGGTGTTATTATACAGAATATCTTTTGAATTTATATGAAAAGAAATATAGTTTGCGAGACAGGTCAAAAATGACAAGTGGTTCTTGACCACAACTTTGCTATAGCCAAACTAAAAGGAACCAGAAGCTTAATGCCTTTACGAGAGTTGCCCTAATGTGTTAGAAAACTCTTTAAGCTATTCACAAAGGCCTCATGGGAACTATCTATTCGGAAAACAGATAATACATCAAAGGATGAAAGGGAGAAATGATCAAAGGACCGGTTCGGTGAATCAATTAACCAGGCAACTCATAACTAGGCAATCGACTAAGTACCTCGCATCAATCATACGCACCGTACACGATGTTCCCATGCCCTGCATCACCACGGAGAACTGGATGGCTTGGGGCAGGGCCAGCAATAGGGCGGCTATCCAGATGGCAAATATGAACTTTACCGCCCGTGACAACTTGGACATCGTGTGCTGCCTGTATCAAAAGCAGAACCAATTAGGCAAGTTTAGGGCAAAAAGGAAGTGGGCAGTGTGTGGAATGCCGGTCCTATCACCTGAACGGATGACAAATGGCAATATATCGCTCTACTGTGAATGCGGTAATGGTCAGAACTGTCGCATTGGCCGCCGTTTCCGATAGAACGCTCTCCAATATGCAGATGCTGTCGCTGAAGGGATAATTATCCGGGTGCCAGAGGTTATAGAGGTCCTGCGGCATTCCTAAGAGGAATATAAGACAATATTTTAATACAAGCAGTCTAAAACTAATTTTGCTGTACAGTCGTATGGCAATTCTTAATATTTAAGAATAACTAAATTTGAAGCTTGTATAATTTGTATAGGGATTGTAGAGGTGTTAAAATGCGAATAGACTTAACCATCTGCGGAATATCTCACCCTAGATTTTCTTTTTTATTCACCAATTTTTATTTAATATGCCTCAGAGCCCATTATTGTTTGCTTTACTGAGCTGCATTAAATTATTATTCAAAAGCCATGAAAATTATAGTTTTACTCACCTGAGCATAACAAAATCATGTCGGATATAGCCAGGTTAAATAGATAAAAGTTTGTGGCCGTGTGCATAAAGTTGTTCCGCGAAATGACGATGCAGGTGATGAGGTTGCCCAGAACGCCGGCGATAAATATGAGGGCATAGCCCACACTCAGGGTGGCCAGCAGGGAAAGTGGGGTCATCGAGGTCATCGTGGGCAGCAGCTCCTCCGGCTCCAGCCCCTGAAGAAGGCTCGTCAGGTTGTCCGCGGAGATGTTCAGCACTTGTGTCAGATTTAAAAGGAATTTCTCATTGTGAAACAGTTGCAGATCGGTTGCCAGGACACCGGAACTGTTAGTGGGCAGCATTTTGACTGCCATGGGGTGTGTGTGTGTAGAGTGTGTGTTGTTGTGCTGTACTGCTCTTGTGCTCTTGTGTCCCGTGGGACCAGTATATGCGCACTATTATTTTCGAATTTCTTTGGATTTTTCAGACTTCTGCTTATGTATTCTTAATCGAAGCTTTCGCTCGCAGACAATGTTTTCCTCACGCCCCTTACGGGGGCTCATCAATTTCGACTTAGGCCAGAGCCACTCCACTTGCAATCTGTTGTCATGAGTGTAGGATTAAATTTTGTGTAGGAATGTGTGCTTTAAGGTGTACCCTATGCGGTATTTAAATAAAAATATATTTTTAAAAATTTCTTTTAATTGAAATAAAATTGGTGTTTTATTGCTAACTGAAGTCGTTCCAGTTTCATAAAAAATGTTTTTAAATGAACTGTTTAAGCCAATGAATTAAAATTCTTCACCGTCCTATAATTTTCGTTACTAACTTTAAACAAAGTGAATATAAAATACAAAAGGAACGTTGTTCAAGACAATTTAGGTATTGCAAGAAAATTATAACATTAAAACATTTAAATTTGTTTGCTGTTGCCAATAATATATACTGAGCTTAGTCCAGTTTAGTAAATTACCATAAATTATACATAAACACAAATTACTTGCGAACTGGTAAACCGTTTATCTCGCTAAGGTCCACCCTAGAGAGCGCGTCTTTAAGTGTGTTTGTGTCCTGTGTGTTTACCTGGCATCCTGGGAAACTGGCAGGCGGCAGTCAGGCGTGTCCTAGGCGAAAGACCAGGCTCAGGGCGAGTGGAAGCTGAAAATTAATTTGAATTGCTAAGTGGCATTTAGTCAAAATATTTGTGTACACGGGATGAATTTAAGGATGTTGCTACAAGGCTCAGAAGGGGCATTCCATTCCGCCCCCGCGCTCCCGCGCAAACAAGCCAACCAACCAGGTGGCAAACAAATGAAACGAGCCAGAAGCTCAAGGTCAGGTGTTTGATAAAGTGGATAAGGAGAAGAAGATGGCAAACGGACACCGGGTGACTTAATAACATTAACATAGTTTCATTCCATTCAGATGATTCTGGCTATATTTCGTTATTGTTGCTGCTGACCGCTGTTGACCGTTTTTGGCCGTTTTCATTATCATAAAAAAGTTTCTACAATATATGCACGGCCAAAAGAATGCTGTCGAATTAGGTTTTATTATATTGTATATTCGATCAAACTGGTTTTCATTTATTAATTTTTCTGTTTTCGTTTCGTTGTCCGATGATTCCGATGATCGACCGTATAGCATCCCACCGAAAATTATGCACCCGCCCATGTCCATAAAGTGTGAGTTTTGTATTTGGTTTACTATTATTATCCATATTTTGCGTTTGGTAAGCCGGTTTGCATAAGGCATAATATGTTATTATAGATTCTGCACCATTAGTGTTTCGGGTCAATGGATTTCACTGGCAATCTGGAGATCTTAAGGCCCCGATAATGCCTTATTTATTTTCAACTTGTTTACAACTGTTTCGGCGCTCCTGTTTGGGGCTTTTCATACCGCCTAATGACAATTAATTATATTTTTCGACTCTCGGCTGGCTATCGCTTGTGCATTTAAAACACGTTTAATTTAAATTTATCAAACGATGCCTGCCACATTTTTCGGAATGCATTTATTTTTTATGGCTTTGAACTGTTTTGATTTTGTCACTCTGTCATCGCATTTGCGAGCATTGCACTTTGTACTCCCCCCTTTCTTGCGCTGACTTTCTCTGAGATGGGACTTCGTTTTGTTTTTGTGGTATTTTATCGAAATATAGCTAATCAGTTTTTACCATGTGCTAAATGTTGATTAATGACCGCAACGCGTTGGTCTTAATTTGACACACACATTTACAGAATTAATGGCTTTAACTATTTGTGTATGGCACTGATTAATTCTGGTACGTAAAATGATTCTCCGAAACAAAAAATTATGACTGACGGGCACGCGCAAATTGATGGCTTTCCCGATATCTCGTTTTATTTCGTCGTCAAAAAATCCGAAAATTTAAGAACCGAAAGAGCGACGGCGGCGGCTACAGCAACGGGCCGCAGCATCCGACTGATTGGGTTTTTGGCCAAAATATCTTGGCAACGAAGTCCGTTCGGGCCACGGCCGATAACAGCGACGCAACAGAGACGTCGGCAGCGAACAACTACCGGTTGCTTTTCGGCTCTCTGCGACGGCGCACTGTGAGTTTTCGGCCTTATATGAAGGGTCCCCCGGCAAAAGGGTAATAAAAATGCAAATAACTCTGGAGTGCCATGCAGTTTATCTTATTTAGTGCCGTATTAATTTGCCCATGGCGGCAAATTGTTTGATTATTATGTTAAGAGAGCCAAAGGACAATGCAAATGTCGACCTTGTCGCCCACTTAAATCCCAAGTAAGCCCACAACCACAATCAATTTAAGTCAAGGCAGCTCGGAAAAGGTGAAGTGGTCGTTCAAAAAATAAAATCAGAAATTTATTTTACTGGACCTAATTCTCAAACATTAGAACATTTTAATTAGAAATGGTGCACTTACGTGGCGTCAACTTTAAAAATAAAAGTGGTATTTCTGTAAAGTTTATATACCTCAATTCATTTTCATTACGTTGCACTCCACCAATATTGCATATAACCTCCACTTTATAGAGCGATTTCTCCACAAAACTTTTATTCCTGGATTACTAAGGCGAGGACAACTAAATTGCTTTGAATTAATTTGTGAAACCACTTTGTACGCCGTTGAGCCCCAGACATCAAGTCACAAAATTGAACATGATTCCGTGGTTTTATGATCAGTCAAAGGGAGATTTTATTAGTGCCCCGGGGTCTAACTTTTATGACTATGTGCGGGAAAATCTATCAGAGCTTTGCGGCCCATAAAATGTGTATTTTCCTATCCCAGCGCTGGTGCGATATATTTTAAGAGCAAACAAATGTAGCAAATGTATATGAGACGTTTGGAAAATCGAATTGCGAGGCAATCAAATCAAGTCCATTGCATGCATTCAATTTCTCAATTTTTATGTAAATAATTCGAAACAATTTTTTGGCACTTAATCAAAACAAAGTCCTAAACAAACAATGAATACTGGTGGGTGTAGGATATAAAATCTAAGGTCGGAGTTGGCATTTGTTTGTCAGAGACTCCACAACGTTTCCCTCATAATCTCTACATCGAGTATCTCACGAATTCAAAGGAGGGGAAAACAGAGCACGTGCTGTAAAGGCATTCCCAGTCAAAAGTTTGGCTGCCAATTGTTGACGAAAGCCGAGAAAAATGGCCAAGAAAGTGGAAAACGAGGGAGATTTTCGTTTGCTTTGCTCTTTATGAGCATTGGACATGACATCAGATTCGGGGCGTCTTGTTTGGCATTTTGAAGTTTTGCCTTTTGCCCAGGACTCTGTCATCAGGCGACGGCGGCATCCTCGTCAGCAGTTTGGTTGAATTTTTGTGCAAGTTTCCAATTCATTTAGTTTTATTGCACGCAGAGAGGGGAGGCCAAAAGTCATTTGCAGTTCGACCAACCCGTTGTCGCGCACTGCTTTCCCTAACTTTCACCTAAGTACTATTGCCTGTACTGGTATATTAGAGTTGGGGCTTATATAAATAAAATATGAAACTTGTCTGCCAGGACCTGATAGTGGATAAAAGCCCAGACATTTAAAGTATTTTAACTTGCCTTGTTTTACATTTCAAGGAACTCGTGCAAGTTGAGTAAAGGATAGAACATCAAATAAAAAGTTATCTGTCAGTTAAATATACGAATTTTAAGCTTGAATCCGACAGCTTTTCATAGTAGTGTTATGTTCAGATTTTTCATAACTTAAAAAATGGAATTTCATTTAATTAAACACATGCATTACGATATTAACGTTCATGATTTTTGTGTAGGCATTTTTGGATTACTTATTATTGACTAAAGAATATCTTAAGCTTCAGTATTCTTTGCTAAGCAGCAACAATTTATTGAATCTTCGCACGCGCTCAACAAGTCGTTGACAAAATTTCATAGCTCGTGGCTAATTGTGACCTTCGATTGGCCAAATGAAGCCAGACTTCCACATGCACTGCAAAGCCTTTCAAATAATTGAATTCCCGAAGAAAAAAAATGTCGGTGTGCGTGTTGGCGGGAGTTCATTTGGTTAAAAGCCCGGCAATTGCCCTCGTCGGTATGCTATTACCAGCCAAGATGCCCAATTTCCAACATGAAAAAAGGGCACTTCCCGTACACTTTGGCCAACGGGTTGTATGAGTAATGCGAGCTAAGCTGAAAGCGTGGACTTTTGGGTATCAACTACTCGTATATAGTATGTAAAGGGATATTATTGTCCCGAAAAGGCAAAAGGCCAAGGACTCCCGCATTTAGTTTAATTGCAACTAATTAGCCACGACTGAAATTACATGACGCACTCAAAAGTGCTCTAAGCCACATTCGCAGAGCCCCCATTTTGGCATCGTTTATCAAGCTACGACGAGCTAATCAGTGGCTCCAGTTGTTGCCTTCTGGCCGCAACATTATCATTGCCGTCTCACCCACTGCAATCGTAAATCAAGGCCAGAGCCCGAGAGCTTTGACCAACTGCTGTGCCCTCAAAACTGCGGTCGACCCTTTTCGATTAGGATCTAGTAGTCCTTTGTCTCTGGCTCTGTAGGTGGCCTACATGTGTGACAAAAGGCATTATGCTAATCAGCATCTCCCATAAGCCAATTGAATCATTCAGATTCAGGAGAACTCACTAACCACTGGGATAACATGGCGTATACGCAACTTGTAAAGGTCAGTAAGTAAAGCACTAATATTGTCGGTCCTAATACTTTCATTATTTACTTTGGAGCTCATGAATAAACCAGGAAATAGACTTTCAGATTGCGGGCGGTGATTATTTGGGACAACATTAATTTAACGCATTTTCGACGGATCAAAGTGCGTGGAAACGTTTGGTTTCTTATTGCTGTACAGGACGAAAATAAAAGTAAGTTGGGATTCGTCAAATAAATACATGTATCTTGTATTATAAATGTAATGCTAAAGCAAACTGAAATACATTTCAGTTATGAATTTCTTTATTACCCAAGAGGTAAATTAAATGTAGATATGTATGTGGGTACTTGTGTAAGAATTACACCATAAAATCTTCAAACCCGTCCGCATGAATTTCCCTAATATCCAAACGCCTTTTAGCGAGTCTCGAACGACCGGATTGTGGTCACGCTCCAGCAACTGTGCATATTTACCGCGACCAGGCAACCATGTCAAATTGGACTGAAAACTCTACGGCCAGGCGTCTTCTTCTCCCGCAAGATAAATATCTTTAAGCCCAGAACAACAAGCAGTTTCAATTGAAAGCAGGGCTCGCGGCGAACTGAGACCAGAACGGAGGAGGATAATGAAAACAAATCCACAAATCTGCGGACAAGGGCCGACATTAATATGCGGTTCGGCATCCTGTAGGTCAGCGGGAAATCAGGCCTCATGTACTGCAAAACAAACACATTTATTCTCCTACTTTATGATGTACAAACAGCTTTGATTTCTCTTTTGATTCGCTGGCTCTGAGGTTGGAGGGAAAACAATTGAGGCGGTCGCCTTTGGCAATAAGTATTAAAACTAAGTGCCAGTGCTTTTCGCCCATTTGCAATTTCAATTAGCTCCGCGCAACTACCGACTCAAATGGATCGACTGCCCCTTAAGGCTGCGCTCTATTAAACCGGATGCCTGCGACATTACTCATCCGACAAGTAAGCCATAACTTACGGCGACTGAGAAGCAGACGGAGTCAAGGTGGAGTGCATGAATTTATGAATGAAATTAGGACCGAATGTTTGCGTTCCTCACACAGTCGCAAAAGGCAGACAAACACGGAGAGGCAGATGGCCAAGAACCGCTGTTAGTTAACATTTGGCTAACAGAAGCCGTCGACAAGTGCCACGATTGCCGCAAGGCAACTCAGTCTTGCACCGACTTTCCTTCATTTCGGACGTGTGCGATTACAACAAAATTATATTCTAACCAAACAGATCCGTTAAAGTGAACAATAAATATAAAATGTATAAGTAGTGCACAAAAAATCTAAAAGTTTTTTTTTCGGAGAATAATTTTATGATATATTTAAAAAAATCGATCTATGGTTCATTAAAGTCACCCAAAACTTACAAGGCATTTTCCACTGATTAAATATGTCCCAATAATTGGCTTTTCCGTTCGGTGAATCCGTTTTATTGACAGGAAAAGGGTTAACAAGCTCCCACGCGAAACTCCTTAATCGTATCACAACAAAAAAAAGAAAATTGAAAGGAAACACACACCTAGTGCGACTCAAAAACGAATAAGGATACGAGTAGACAACAAAAGAGGTGACAATTCGCGCAGCGAAAGTAAATACACTTTTGTTATTTAATCTTGGTAAGAGTCAACATGTCGATGGCAATTTATTCAGGACCCTTTCTTTTTGCTTCTCAGAACATAAAAACTCTCTTTCCCATTTTACTAAATTGCTTACCTTCGGCAACCGCAAAGCTTAATTAAAAAATGTTAAGGTATCCTCCACATCGTCCGCATGACCGACTGGACACCTGGTCAATGCAACTAGATTGCGGTTTAAACTCATTCTCCAACTGAAATTGAATTGCAAACCTTAATATGAACCGCGTGGCATTGCGTTGGCTGATTGGATTGTGTAGATCGAAGACTGACACTTGTGCACAGACTCTAAATCAGCCACCGACTCCCAGGTCACTTTATGCCGAATCATATCTAAATCAACTTTCACACGTGAGCTGGCAATTCAATTATTTTTCCAATTAGTTTGCGTCAATAAGATGATGCTGTGATGCTGTGATGCTGACCTCTCGAGGTTCGTAGGCTCACTAAGAGCGTAGCATACTTTTTGGGGGGTTTTTTTTGAGCGTCTCTTCACAATGAACAACGCTTAACGAACAGGAAACATAATTAATTAGACGCATCAAACAGAATTTTGGCTACACGCCAATTATCCAACTTGGCAAAGCTGTGAATTAATGTTCCGTTACTTGGTCTTTGACTTCTAACCCCAGAGTATGATTATTGGCAGCAAGGAAATCCCAATGGACTTGTTTTGGTCGAATTATGAGGGAAATATATTATTACCACTCATGTTATTTCGAACATCTTTAAGTCTCTCACCCTTTTGGAACTAATATTAGAGTCTGAGGTAGCAGAATTTCCCATTTGTATCGACGATGAAAAAACTTTTCCACACATGCAATCATGTTTCGTTTCACTTAGTCCAAAACCTAGCAAATAGAAAAACTTTTTTATCCCCAACCAAATCTGTATTGAGTGCCAGCAATCTGTATTGCTTAAGCTTAAGATGTTTACTATTAATAGAGCCAAGTTGCAAATGACATACGGCTTACAGAGAAAATAATTCCAAACTCAATTTAATTTATACAAACTGTATACTTCTTACAAGATGGCAGGATAAAATCTCCAAAAATGTATGGATAACAAATACATTATAATTAATTTAATATATTAATAATAATGTGACTTTTTTCTCCCTGCATAAGTGAATATATTTATTATTAAGAGATCCAGGGGGCAATTGACAAGTGGCAGCAATCAAGTCTTTATTTCGGGTATGCATGTAAAAGGCAATTTCCTGATCGAAGGTTTTGGACACCTGATGCCGTCCATCTGAATGTGACGTCAGCCTGGCTGGGGATCAAATTTAAATTCATTCTTGAGTCTAATGACTTTTAATGTTGTTTGCTTCACAGGCGAGTGCGCAATTTTTGGGCCTGTCGTCGACTGCTTATCAGCTATGTGCCACCACAGCCGCAGAGGATACGACAGACAGTATTAATAACGCATTGATACGAGTGGGCGGTCGATTTGCTTTTGTTTTTCTTTCCTAACTTGGCCGTGGAAAGGAGTGGTGTGGTGTGGAGTGGATAGAGTCCACAATTAATCGACGGCAGCTAGCATGTTGCAAGGCGTCGCCATCACCATAGCCAACGACAGCAACGATGATGGCCTCAATCAATCATTCATGGCTCATATGTCGCCCAGTCCCAATCAGAGTCCTTCCATCGGTGTGGGCTTGGGAATCACCTCCTCCACGATGCCGAATCCCAGCGAGAGCCCCGAGCTGTTGCTGCTGAAGAACGACAAATTCCTAACACATGTCGCCCATCTGCTGAACATAACGACCGAGAATCTTTCAAATCTCCTGGGTTCCACGAATGGCACAAATGCTAGCACAATGGCAGCGGATTCGCCGGTCGATGAGTCCCTGACCCTGCGAACCGCCTTCACCGTTTGCTATGCCCTCATTTTCGTGGCCGGCTTGTTGGGTAATCTTATAACCTGCATTGTTATATCGCGAAATAACTTTATGCACACGGCCACCAACTTCTATTTGTTCAACCTGGCGGTTTCCGATTTAATACTGTTGGTCTCAGGTGAGTTGGCATTTTCAGGGACACCATGGCGTATGCGTAATGCGGAAAATATCCTGCAGGCATTCCTCAGGAGCTGTACAACCTTTGGTATCCGGATATGTATCCCTTCACGGACTCCATGTGCATCATGGGCAGTGTGCTCTCGGAAATGGCCGCCAATGCAACAGTCCTCACCATCACAGCATTCACTGTAGAGCGATACATAGCCATCTGTCATCCATTCCGGTGAGTTTTAAATAATGAAAATAATCATTTCTTCAATGCTATTACCGCGTTTTCATTAACAAAGTGGATCATGCATAATTAGGACAGACCATAAATAGATAAATAAAACTTGATTAGCGTCAGTCCGAAATGATGTGAAAACACAAAAGTACCTCACAAATTATGGCCACAATAATTATTCATCACCAAATAGTCCGGCTGTGGAATGACTAAATTCAGGCTTGACAACAAAATTCCCATCGTTTTTAAATAAACCATATTCATTAGCTTTCATTTATTGACACTAATTAGTAGTCAGGTCGATAAATGTACCAACTTCATTATAGACCATGCACTTAAGTTCCATTAAATGCGTTGTAGGGGTATAAAGATAAAGTAAAGACTAACTAGTCAAATAATTACTACGTTCCTACAGAGTTTCTCTCATCGAATGGTAGAGCAAACTTTGCTTTAGACGGACATAACAAAGATATCACAAATTGTCTTACAAATGTCCTGACCATTTTGCCGTCTAAAAACACAATTGCTTCCTCACAGATGACGTCTGGATTCCATTCACGATTCTTGGTACGTTTCAGCCAAACCCAAATTACATTTCCTTTGATTCAGAAGCTCTTGAATAGCTAGAAGAAATTAAATTAAAAATCCTTCATTGTATTTTCAAGTGCAATTTGCGTTTCCAGCTTAATCTTAACATATCTTAACATCTTAACATTTAACAAATTTATTGCAATGAATACAAACACTTGTATTAAGTTCTTAGGAGTATGCAGACACAAAAGGTGGTTTCCTAAAAGAAGGCACTCCAAGTCTGATTACAAAGTGGAGACAAAAAGTTTTCATTTCTCTGAAGTTGGGATTAAATATTATTGTCGAGAAGAGTATGAGGTTTTTGACAGTACTATGGTAATTTTGATACCAAACCTTTTCATTTACAACCTCATTCATTTATGTTGCATTCTATATTTAAGCCTTAAGGAGAAAGTTAAGATGCGTAAAAAGCGTAGGTGGTCACTGCCTTCTTTTCATCACATCACATCCACATCATCTTGTCCCTAATACTTAACATACAATGTAGCCTAATCTTTCCGTCATTTGTAGGCAGCACACCATGTCAAAATTGTCGCGGGCCATTAAATTTATATTTGCCATTTGGCTGGCGGCCTTCCTTTTGGCCCTTCCGCAGGCCATGCAATTTTCGGTGGTCTATCAGAGCGAAGGATATTCGTGCACGGTGGGTGGACTGAAATGTGAAAACCAAGTGACGCATCACTGAGTGTCCTTTTCGCTGTTTATTCCCTTAGATGGAGAACGACTTTTACGCCCATGTGTTCGCCGTTTCGGGATTTATTTTCTTCTGTGGACCCATGACGGCGATTTGTGTACTCTACGTGCTGATCGGAGTGAAGCTGAAGAGGAGTCGCCTGCTGCAATCGCTGCCGCGAAGGACCTTCGATGCGAATCGCGGCCTAAATGCCCAGGGACGAGTCATCAGAATGTTGGGTAGGTGAGTTAAGTTGGCGGCTTGATTGATTAAAGACAGCGATATGCGCCACCGCCAACCAGAAACAACAAGAACATCCATGGCTGTCAAAACTTTTTGCGCCGAAAGTCTTAAATTAAAAATGACTGTCAACATTTTTGCGTTGGCGAACATCAAACACGAATTCGTCATAGCCCCGCCCTCATTGCCTTCCGCCCTTTTATTTGCACTTGCGTCATGTGGACGGAACGTGTTTCTGTTTTTTTTGCTCTGTTTTCCTCAGCGGTGTCGTTAATTTTTCGCAAACATGTAGGTGTGCATGTGAAAAGCTCTTAAATGGCCATCTAGCGTATGAAGCTCAGGTGAAGCCAGGTGTCACCTCAAAAGTAATCAAGCCGGGCCACTTAAATGAACTTAAGACTGCGGGGTACGCACAGCAAGCTTAAATATTTGGAAAATGTGTGCCTTGAATCTAACATTTCCACTTGTTTGGCACATTATTAGCTATTATGATTTAAAGGAATTCTGAAAGAATTTATTCAACATATTTCTTCCGCATTATTAACACATTTTCTCTTTTTTTTAGAAATTCCTATCAAGCCATACAGTTAGTATATGTAAATGGAAATCCGGCCAAAAATGTAGATCCCAAATAGCAGTTTTCTATTACCAGCTACGAATAAACGCTCAATTTACTGCTGCTTTTTAATGGAAATCCACAGTCCACTGATTTCGAAGTTTACCATTGAACCTGGTTTGCCAAATGGAAATTGATGGGCTAATTCAGATAGGGCCCAGAGCCTGAACAATAAATTAATTTGAACAGAGGGGGAAAATACACTCCCGTATCCAGGGCTTAGTTATACATAGAGAGTGGAACATTATTTATCGTTTGCTAACAGGTAAAACCTTGCCAATAGAAAAATGTGTTTTTTCACTATGCGCAAACTATTCGCTTTCGGGGGAAATAAAAGATTAAGACCACTTACAATGTGAAAAGGCCCTTTCCGGTTACCGGGGTTTTAATACGTTGTTTATCCTTACTTGACCGTATTTGCAGTAGCTGTAGCCGTCGCCTTCTTCCTCTGCTGGGCTCCATTCCACGCCCAGCGGCTGATGGCAGTTTACGGACTGAATCTGATTAATATAGGCATCAGTCGGGACGCCTTCAACGATTACTTCCGGGTACTTGATTACACGTCCGGGGTGCTCTACTTCCTCTCCACCTGCATCAATCCGCTCTTATACAACATCATGAGCCACAAGTTCCGCGAGGCCTTCAAGGTAAACCCATTGGAGTAACCCTATATCTTAGCTTATCACTTCATAAATAATAATCTATGTTTATTTGGTTCCATTGCATGTTTTTTGTTACCGTCATAAAGTTTTCAGAGACAAATTTAAACCTTATTTATTAAAAATTATTGTTTTGTTTTTTTTTTCACATTTAAGATCACACTTACGCGACAGTTTGGTCTGGCCAGAAACCACCATCACCAGCAGAGCCAGCACCACCAGCACAACTACAGTGCCCTCCTCCGGCAGAATGGATCGATGCGTTTGCAGCCGGCCAGTTGCAGTGTAAACAACAACGCGCTGGAGCCATATGGATCGTACCGAGTGGTGCAGTTTCGTTGCCGGGATGCGAGCCACCAGTTGTCCCTGCAGGACAGCATTCGCACCACCACCACAACCACCACGATAAACAGCAGCAGCATGGCAGCCGGAAATGGAGTTGGCGGGGGAGGGCGGCGTCTACGGAAACAGGAGCTCTACGGGCCAGTTCCAGGCACTGCAGTTCCCCATCGAATGCTGCAGGGGCAGGTGTCCCAACTCTCGTCGCTGGGCGATGTCAACTCACTACTGGAGTCGGAGGTGGTGGACAGGCACTACGCATCCGGACGAGCAAAAAGAGCTCTCTTGGCCACCAAAAGTGGTGCCCTGCTGGTGACACCACCACAAAGTAGTGACCCATCGGAAGTCAGTCAGCCCGCCACTCGTCTCAAGCTGACTAGGGTGATAAGCCGGAGGGATGAGGTGGTCAACACCACCACTCCGTCCTTTTGTGGCAGTCACAGTTTGCCGGATCCGGAGACTTGCCAATCGGCTTCAGTGGCTGGTCGAAGCTCCCGCAAGTTTCCGTGGCGAAAGCGAAGGCAAAAAACGGAGGATACCAGCAGCGAGGGCTTGACCTATGGCTCACCCAAATCCCAGTGATTCCAGCTGGTTGATAAATAGAGTTATGCTTAGTTAGGCATTGTTTAGTTAGCGCAATAAACTTTTCTATCTGTATATAAGCCAGAAAAAGTCCAGCGATTTGCATGCAAATTTCGGTTGGCCCTAAAAAATTGAAAGAATGGGCATGGTCCAGACGATTTATGGGAGTCATAAAGCCGGAATAATGAGGCTGCGGCGTATCGTGACGAAAACACGCGCGGCATCTTTTTGCAATAGCAACCGCATCGCACTCATAAATTAAGTGTTAAGTGTTGAGCTACCAGCTAAATAACGTGAATAAATAAGAATTGTTCTCAATATTACAGCAAAATCCTTTTAAATGTGTTTTCTTTTCACAATGCATGCCAGTTACATTGAAGCTTACCTGCATTCCAAGTTGTCCAGGATCAAAGGGAAAACAGGTTACTTCTCAGCTTTTGCAGGTGCAGCGTTTCCAAGAAATCTGTTCCTACCTCTTGCGGCATTTTTCCTGCAGATTGCCTGACATTCTGTTGATTTCCCCACACAAAAACTAAAAGCGCTGAAAGAAACCAGAGTGCATGGCAACCATATAAGAAAATAAACTATCAGTCTGAATATTTTCAGGACCTCAATATCAAATCCGAGGAAAATGTAGCGTAAATTTAGAACGGATTACTCATCAGAAAATCCCGTTTTAATAAACATATTTTTGCTCAGTGTGTATCCCCAAGACCCCACTTGCACCTGGCAAAGTCAGTTTCAGTTTGCACCTGGCCCATTGCCGGAGGTCCATTAGTCAAGAGGGCTTTGTAGGCTAGGAAGTCCGGATTGAAACGAATGTGCACGGAGTGGCACGAAAGGGCTTATCCTGTGGTGAATTGGCACGTGGAGTGCATGGAGCGTGGTGTCGGTGCCACAAAATAAATCAACTCCAAAGTGCCACACTATTTTAAGGCGTCGAATGATGTTATATCCAACGGGAATTATTAATGGCAAATAAATTCAAGTGAAAGCCAAAAGTTAAGACCGAAGTCCTGAAAAATTCAAAGCCATATTGTCGCCTCTTTACCTCCGACTAATCAGATGTGTGGCCCATTGAAGTTGTCGTGTGGTTTCAGCCCATATATCAAATGGATATTTACCCATTGAATACCGCTTAGCCAAGGCCCATGTAATTCCCTACCGCCTGTTGGCAGGAAACCATAACAAAGGGCTTGCGGTTTGGGCCACTATGAACCGCCCTCCTCATTCATCATCACCCGAGGTGCAGTCCTTTGTGAGGAGCTTTTAGTTTGGGGATGCTGGATGGGCGGATCCTCCATCAATAAATCGTGCGGCCTGCCGCCTAGTCAATCATAATCTGACACAATAAAGATATTAATCAGAGTCATAAATTTACTTACGGTCTAGACAACCAGTTTAACGGCCAACACATCGCACAATGCTCGCTGACGAAGATGAAGAGTGCTCCCGTTTTTTTCCCATCCTGGGCTGGAACTTTAATAAGTGCAGCGGAGCAGCTCGCATATTGTCCCGGTCATTACGCGCAGACATTTCAGATTACTCTTCCAGTTTATGACCAGCAAACTTTCACTTTTCAAAGCGTCGAATTCATTTTTTGTTCTTTCCCATTAGAGGGTAAGCAACAAATAACTCGGTCTTTTGGACTCTTGGACCCTTGGACCCCTGAGTGGCCATATGCACATCCACATCCACATCCATAACTATGTCCATGTCCATGTCCATGTCCTTGTCCAGATTTTAAAGCCGAAGCGCTTACACATGCATGCTATCCGGTCATTCTCTGCTGGTCCTTGTCTGCACCTAACGAGCCAGCAAAGTGCCGAACAAAAGCTGAGTCCGAGTCACTTTGAACTCATCACCGGGTTCACCCCAGGATCACAAGCAGGCAGGCACTGGGAAAAAAATAGTGGTCAAGTCCAGGATATGCCCATAAGACATGTGAAAATGTACTGAAAATCGAAGAGTGAAGTGTTCTTTTCCAGTGCTCACCGAATAATGCCCATTTTCTAAAGTTACATATGCGAACAAGTTAGAATGCGCAAAACGCTTCAGTTCCCATTCAATTAAAAATTTCACAAAATGCGGTCCGGCGGCTGAACAGCGTTTGTAGAAAACTGGTCGAGTATCCTTGCTATGGGCATCAATTAAAGTTGCGTAAACACGCTCCAAAGGACACACTTCATGGGCGACTTATATGTTTATTTATTGTGCTGCCCGGCCCCACAGCCCGTGCCAACTGTTTCGATGAACCCAATTGATTCTTTTGCTGGCATCGCCATGGGGTCAACTCAACTCAACTCAACTCTTGCCCCATCGATGGATGGCAAATAAATATTATTTTCTGTGTGCCACACGCTGGCTGTTGCGGCTCAGTCGGATTGTGCTGGTGCATAACCGATTTACACTTTAAATGCCGTGCCACGTCATGGCAGGAATTTTAATTAAATTTTAGTCTTGATGGTCAGCCGGCTATCCTGCCTGTAATATCAGTGCCATGTCGCCGCAGAACAATGAGCCAAATTAAAATAACAAGGGGGGCAGTTTAAAATCCGAGAGGCCGTCAACAGCTGCCACTGGCCGCTTTTGACAACGAATTAGAAGCCCCGACCTCCGGTCACAGTTCAACAAACTAAAAGTGTTTGTTTTATGGCCTCGATGTACTCGACGTACTTGAAGCCCCAGCCTGCGACCCCTAGCCACCCCACTTTTATTTATTTTTTTTCGAGACAAACAAAACAAAATTCGCAATCCCCGAAAGCAGACAACTCAAGATTAGCAGCGCCACAAGTCGAGAGCCAAAAATAACTCGAAATATTTCGCTCAATTGCAGTGGCCAAAACAATAAACCGTGCCCTCCTGACCATGGACATGGACAGGGAGCGTTGGGCATGAACGTGAACCCATCCAAGTCCCAGTCTCCGGATCTGATCTGGATTCGGCGACCTTCCTCAGAGAATTGCACTGGGAAAGAAGTCTAGTGTTTTTCACTTGCTTCTTAGATCAGCCCGTAAAAATATTCAAAATATTCTTTAAGTGTTTTCTTACTTAAAGTTACAACTATATTTAACAGATCTAGGAATCCCTATATCATGTAGTAAATATTGTCAAATAAATCGATTTATTTACGGTAATTTCGATTGTCCAAATTTATCTCTGTGTGTTTATATTTTGTTTGCAGTTGCCAGTGGGTTTCTCGCCGGATATCAGGGGTAATTGTCCTTAAAGCGGCACTAAGAGCTGTCAGATTTGCCTGGAACTTTACCAGAATCAAAAACAGACTTTAATCATCCTGCGGGTGGATGTGTGCCTCCTGGCGCCTTGTTTGCATGCTGAAGCGTGTCTGAGATAATTTGTTTGGGATTTAGCGCCATCATTGTTTCTGAGTTCCAGTGCTGCCCTTCCGAAAGCTGCGTTTTGCTGCTACCGACGTCAGTGAAGCGGAAACTACCATGGCATCGAGATGGTCAATTGAAATTAAGCCAATTTACTTAGATCCTATTAATTGGGGCCACTCGTGCAGGGAACAACAGTTGCATAGTGTAAAGTTTTCTACAGTTTCTACTGCTTTCTCCGTACCGGAGTAAGTTTATTAATTAGCATTGGCTTGGGAACGGGACGAGAAATCCTTCGACTGTGAGCATAAAAGTACTATGCGAATGCCATTTTCAATCCTTCTTGTAAGCCTACTTGTTTATTTCCCATTTTCGCTTATACAACTATATTAGATATTAAGGACTGCATTTTCAATGAAGTGCCTGTCATTTGTTCACTGTATAATCGAACGTAATTTAATATAAAATACGCTAATTAAAAGCTACATTTTTCAGCGTATTTTCGCAATTTAATAATTGATTTATTTAGTATTTCAATTATCTCCGTTGACCATTAACCAGCTTGTCAATTGTGTTTATATAGAGAGCAAAGTGAGAAGCGGTTGAATCGAAAAATGTCTAATTAGCATTACATTTGGTTTTTTGCGACATAATGAAAACTTCACGCGTCAAGTATTTCAATTGATTTTAAATAAGAACTACTTATTAAAGTCATGCACTTTATGTATACCGAAAACCATGCAAATTAATGTGGGGATTTCTATTTGAACTTCATTTTACAAGCAACTTAAAATGTTTTGCCCTTTTCACAAGAGAAATCATAAGCTAATTAGGAACTACAGCTCAACTACTGTCACAGAAATCTCATTTTATGTCTGAAAATCGCCTCTAATTGTTGATCGCTTTGTATCTTGCAGAACATAAAGTTAACAATATTCCGAGAAAGAAGTACCGAAGAAAAAGCACACCATTTAAGCACCGCGTTTCCCTGAATTTAACAGCGACACAAAGTCGTTCAAGTAAATACAAATTTAACGTCATTAGCAGCATGTCAGTTCGGAGAAAAGCAAGGTTTTTGACATATAACTTGTAGGCGTGGTAGCCGGATACTTTATTTGCTAATGGAACATTTTGCTAAAAATGTTTTGGCATGCCTTTAATTCCCTTTTTTGTCATAACTGCCAACTACTTCCCCCATTTTGCTTTAGGTTTTCGTGTAGGACATGAAAAGGAAAAACACAAAACTTTTTTCAAGATAACCAACTTTACAAGTAAAATTTTACACAAAAACTTTAGAACTAATTATCGTTTAAGCGGAATTTAAATCTCTTTACAATCGGTATATATACGTTGCCCTGAGTCTCAGTACCCGAATTTATGTGGTAATACAACAGTTTATTTATGGCAATATAAATACGCCATTTTTCAATTCAGGATTTAGAAAATCAAAAATGGGCGATGAAAGTTATCTTCGATTGGAGTGTATATTCATGTGTACTATGCAATTCAAGAGCTGTATGTTTTTACAAGTGCGACCTTTACTATTCGATCCCTTATCGATTCTAATGATTTCGAGTCACGTTCAATCGAAACCGAAAATGAATAAATTTCATTTCTTTTCATAGCGAAGCATTATCTTATAATGTATCCATTTCAGCCCCGTCCGATATACGAATTCTTAGGATTCCGACATCTGCTGGAGAAATGAATTCAATTAGGTTGATATCAGGCGAATGCGAATTAAATGGCAAACAATTGTGGACGCGAAGTGAAGAAGCCATTTCAACTATTCGGCAAGCGGCAAAAATGGCTGAAAAATATATATTAATGGGGAAGGGTCTTAGGAGCACTGTGTCCGCAGTTCGTGGGACATGTTGCCAACATCCGTTCCACAACAAATCACACAAAGAACACGAGACAGCGATTCGCAGCTGTTGGCATGCCGCCCCTGAAATGAAGGGACGGTCGACACATGGCAGTGGGCACGGG